AAGTTTACTTGTCTTCAGAGCAATGAGCTTTACCAGCAGTGAGTCATGCAGGGAATGTTTGGTGAGGTTGTTGGGGCTGGAGGCAGCCTGACAGGATAATAATAATAATCTCCTCTGCAGGTTTTCAAATTTATTTATTTAATTTATATTGGTGTATTGGGAGTTATTGTTGTAATGTGGGTGAGAGAGCACGACACCACTATACATTTTGTATAATGTTACTTACATGGAAAACTGCTTGAGTTTGGCCTCTATGCTGCGATGTCTCATACACATCCTGGTCAAAGCCGATCCAATGTCTCTGGTTCCACCTGAAAGATAGGAAAAAGAAAAAAAGAACAAGCTTTTAATGTAAAAATCACAAAAATTAATCAAACTGACCAACAATAAATAAAACAATTAGGTGGTCAAACAATCCATAAGGAGTTATTCTTCGATTGATGTAAGAGAAAATGAACAGGTAGGGCAAGAGGCCAGAAAAGAGAGAATCCAGAGAAGAAGGGTCAAGGGCAAATATCCCGAAGTGACACTGACGCCCATGGAAGCTCAAATAGACAGAAATCCAGTTGTATCATATATCAACATTTACAACAGAAAGTTTGCTGCAATTTGCATCAAACTACCAGAACATCAGGACTGTCTGCAGCTGCATCATTGAGTGAGACGTCTAATTACACAGGTAACCAGAGAGACTCCACAGAGCTGAGCACACAATGGGCTTTTGATAAAGACTAGGTGGATGCATCTACAATGTAAACACTGACTGAAAAGCAGTTTGAATATTTAAGTGAAGCACATAATACTCACAGGCAGCTAATGCTGTAAAGTCATTAACTTCAAACTAAACTGAGAGTGACTTCACTGCTGGAAAAAAGGAGCGCTCATTGACCCCACTCTTTCCACTGCAGCTGAAAATGTGGGAATCAGTTGAAAGGACAGATTTAGGAGCCGTGCACATATTCAGGTCAAGAGAAGCGATGCAACGTCGGAGCTGGAGTCTAGAAAATGTGCTCGCGGCTAATGTCAGTTTCTGTCACACAGGCTAACTAGCTGTCCACTGGAAGGCCTCTGGCTGGACAGCTAAGCAGGGACTTGACGTTGATTGACAGAACCATTGTCTGGCTGCTCAGTGTGACTGGTCGGGTTCTTTGTTGGACTGAGGCACTACTGTGTGTGTGCGTGTGTGTGTGTGCGTGTGTGTGTGTGCGTGTGTGTGTGTGCGTGTGTGTGTGTGCGTGCGTGTGTGTGCGTTTGTGTGTGCGTGTGTGTGTGCGTGCGTGTGTGTGTGTGCGTGTGTGTGTGTGCGTGCGTGTGTGTGCGTTTGTGTGTGCGTGTGTGTGTGCGTGCGTGTGTGTGCGTGCGTGTGTGTGTGTGTCTGTCTGCTGGTGTTGGTTGTGCATTAGAGGGCACAGAGATCTTGCATGAAACTGTGTGAAGTTCTCGTGACTTTCTGTTCAGTGACAATGTGATACTCTCAGTTTGTGTGTGTATGTGTGGTTGTGAATCCCCTCCAACCGAGCAGGCCATTCTGCTGTCAGCACAGTCCCTGCTGCATGCGGAGACAAACACACAGAGCTGTCACTCACTCACACCCACTCACACTCAGATTTACAACACACAAAGTTGTTTTACTCTGTTAGAGGCTAGGCAGGGCAAATGCAAGAGTCTGTTGATTTGACCTACAAGACTTATTTTGGTAACTGGGGTGCCACAAAAAAAGAAAAAATATCATAAAATGAGAATAACTTTCAAAGTTGTCAAATGGAGATAAAACCCCAGGTGATATTTTTGGGTGGTAATGTGATGAGGGCTAGGCACAAAAAATAGTTCAGGACAGATTTCAACTGTATTTCAGACTCATCATCTTACACTAATGAAAGATTTTTTTTAAGCCACCCTGAGAGAACAGTGTCTTCTTGTTTATAGCTAGATTCATGTGTCTAAATTCAACAGGAGAATGGTGAAGACATGTTGGGTGCATAAATTGTTGTTTTTGTTTCGTACCTCTCAAATAAATCTTGTCACATAGCTGCTGAGTCTTCTTTTTCAGTGTTGCAAAACCAGCACGATATGAGAGGTTCTAAGTTGTCTGTTTCTAATTTAAAGCAGAACAGTTTTCTCTCCTTCTTGTAAAAGACCAGTGTTAGCTCACTGAGCTCTAAGAGCTCAGTGAAAAGAAGACAGCACGGAGAGACTGAATTAGACTATTTTATACAATAAATTACAACTTTCCCGCATCTTTCAACAATACATAATTTAATGTCAATCCCACTGAGCCCATTATGACCTCAAAGCTTTCCCTCTATCCATTCATTCATCCGCTCCTCTTTAACCGTGCGTGCTTTTTATTGCAGAGGGTGTGGCTACTACATGCCATAAAAGACCTCTCTGTTATACAGCACCATAATGCTCATTCATTCCTGCGTTGACTTGTTTAGTCACCACATCCATCCATCCATCCTTCCATCTGGCCACCTCTCACTTACCATAACTGTGTGTTATTGTAGAGGGTGTGGCTGATAGATGCCACAGTGGTATAAAGAGGCCATGCAAAAAAATTTAAATAAAATTAGAAAAATAAAGACAGTGAGTTTTTCATTGGAAAGTTACTGTAGAGTTCAAGCTTATGCTCAAGGGAAGAGTTTGGTTTCAGTTGATTATTCATTTGGCGCAACCCCACCCACACTACTGGATTTGATATGAACCAAAATATGCTCTTGGCTGCATGCAGCATTATGGGAGTAGAAACATGACACTCTGAGTCCAGGTTACCTCTAACTCACACTCAAGTCAGATCTCAATTCATCCTTTTCCATCTAGCGTTTCAATGAATTCAGAGGTTATATACTGTTAACAGGGATAAGACTGCTACACCATAGCAGCATGATAATCGTTGTCATAAATAATTCAGCCACAGCACATATTCTTTGTATGAAAGAAACTTGTTTCTCTTTCAAGCACTTCTCCCTCTCCCAGCAGGTAGGGAGTCAATGTGGCCTCTGCCATGACTGCCAGTTGCTGTGGTAACCGTATATCCATGCATGTGTGTGTGTGTGTGTGGGTGTGTGTGTGTGTGTGTGTGTGTGTGTGTGTGTGTGTGCCTGCTACAATCTGACTTGGCTCCAGCAAAGATTCTAGGTCAAGACCTCCTTGTATTTTGCCACATGTAAAGTGACTGACATAACAAACTCTTCAGGAAGGATACGACACACACTACCTGGACGGGCAGTCCAGTGTAATGCACAGCAGCATGTGGTTGAACTGGGATTCAATATGTTATTAAGTTATCATGGGATACGTGAAGTTGTTCTGTGTGTGTGTCAGATGATTCGTCTGATGTAAAGTTTTGATTTTGCTTACTTAAGCCACAAGAAAAAATCTCAAAATAATCTAATTATTTATCACAATATTGAATTGAGCTATGTCACCTATTAGGAGCTCACGCATCTCATGCAAGTGTCTCGTTTTCATGACAGGTCAGTCTGCTCAGTTTGCGGAAAGTTGTTATGTTGCTCTCAGGATGAAGTGGCTGCTAACACTCATCGGTTACTCCATCGTCTAGCACCGAACGACCCCCTGGATGGAAATAGCTGCACTGGCAGCTCCAGTTGTCTGCCACACACACACACATAAATAACACCCAGTATATGCAGGGCAAAATATACACACACAAAAGCAGGAGACCAGACTAATGCTGCGTGTGTAGTGGCATCTAGCTGGCTTTCAGTATAAATAGCTGCTGTGTGACATGGTTGTTGTGGAGGCTTGTAATTATCCCTGCACTACCAACACTTAAACAGCGGAAAACACAGACACACACACACACACACTGTAAGCTCCACTCGTTGGTGCATCTGTGAACGGATCATGTGTAACTAACACCTTTTTTAAACATAAAATGCAAGTAAGCAGGACTAAGTGTGTGAAAAAAAGAGCCAATTCAGCCACAGACTGTGTTTATGGTTTGTGTTTCCAAAACACCTACAGTCACAGGCTTCATCAATCCACAATGTTCCAGAGTAAGTGTCCAATATGAAGTTAATAGACTACACGTTAACTATTTAATAAACATGGTGCCCTGCTAATTTTTCCCAAATTCCCATCCAAGCTTTGTCTCTTGGTGACTGGTGTTACAGCTTTGTGTGGGAACCAGTGTCTCATGAGTCTATTGGGACATTTGTGACAAAGGTGATAGTTTTTTCTCAGTGTGTGTTTGTCTGTGTGTGT